TTGATGCAGTTCTTCTTTAAAATAAACTATTAATAGGAAAACCAACCCGGCAATGATCACTAAAGCAAAAATGGTGTACTCAGGTGTTCTGAAGTAAACTTCTGGCTATGGCTGACCTGGGAGGTGATAACATGTCAGTATTTAGCTGAGCCGTTACAGTGCTGGATGAGGACAGATAATTCCCTGAAAGAAGTGTGGTGTCTTTATCAGGGAGAACCTTCTCTTTGATGATGAAACAGGGAGGAACCCTACAGCCTGCTTTACAAGATCAGAGATAAGCATTGAAGACCTTGTGCAGGTCTCAGCTATTATTTGGCATTATCATCACTACAAGAGCGAGCGGTAACCCTGATCTTGTAATATGAAATGTCTGTCGGCAACGTTTCATTTATTATTGGCATTTTTATAGCACTGACAATTTTACACAGCGCTCTACATAGAGCACATTCACATCAGTCCCTGCTCTCAAGGAGCTTACAATCTAAAGTCCCTATCACAACTCTTTTCTTCAACCAAAAACATCTTTATTGACATCCATTCAGCAGTAACAGGGCAATGTTTCCGGACCACTCAGGAAAAGTACAAAATAAATGGATGTCACCAGCACACCAATAGTGTTGAAGTCCAAAGTGTTCGTTTTTTGGAACGTCATGTCACCAGTAGTGATGAGCCGAACAACCCCGTGTTCGGTTCGTATTCGAACGGCCGAAAAGTTTGAATACGAACTCGAACTCAATGCAAGTGAATGGGGGATCGAACGTTCGAAAATGAATGTGCCCTTTAAGAGGGCTTATACAGGTAGTCCCCAGGTTGCGGACAATCCGTACTTACGAACCGGGTCCACAGTTCTCCTAAATGTACTGGCAAAAAAAACATGCTTATAAACTTTACACTATGGCATTGTAGTTGTCTCTTCACCGGGACTTTACACAATATTTTTAGAGCTGTTCTTTCACTGGGAGCATACTTTATGTGTTTTCTATACATAATCATTGATTGTTATTTATATGTATGGTGATTGTTTTGTGTAAATGTATTAAATGTGGTTTCATGTTTTTATATTCATATTGCACCCACTTTTTTTTAATGAATTTGTAGATATAGGGTAGATACTATTTATTGAGCACAGGGCTCTTTTCTAATACATTACTGCTCGTAGTTCATACCAGAATAGTAGCGCAGATATCCTGGATCTCATTGTATCTCATTGTATCTCATTGTGCCTCGCTGTATTTCATTGTGTCTCACTGTGTCTCACTGTATCTCACTGTGTCTCACTGTATCTCACTGTGTCTCACTGTGCTTCATTGTGTCTCACTGTATCTAACTGTATTTCATTGTGTCTCACTGTATCTCACTGTATTTCATTGTGTCTCACTGTGTCTCACTGTGCTTCATTGTGTCTCACTGTATCTAACTGTATTTCATTGTGTCTCACTGTGTCTCACTGTATTTCATTGTGTCTCACTGTCTCTCACTGTGTCTCACTGTATCTCACCGTGTCTCACCGTGTCTCACCGTGTCTCACTGTATCTCACTGTGTCTCACTGTATCTCACCGTGTCT